TTCCCCTCCTCTTCTTGTCCTTCCCTTTTGTCCTCTCTTCCCCATTCTCCTCCTCCAGCTCCATCTCTTTTTGCCTCCCTACCATCCCTCCTTTAAGCTTTCGCCTTCCTTTTCCTCCTCCTCGTGTTCCTCTTCCTCTTCCTTGTCCTTGCCCTCCCCCTCCTCTTCCTCGTCCTCCCTTCATGTAGCTCCGTTTTCGCAATCAGAGTCAGTAGGAAAGAAAAACAAAACCACCATAGCCTGTTTCGGCCCCCTCCTTTCCCTCCTTTGTACTTTCCCTTCCCTCTTCTCGTCCTTCCTCTTTGTCCTCCTCCTCCTCCCCCTTCTCCTCCTCCAGCTCCATCTCTTTCTGCCTCCCTACCCTCCCTCCTTTTAGGCTTTCAACTTCCTTTCCCTCCTCCTCCTCGTGTTCCTCGTCCTCGTCCTCCTCCTCCCCCTCCCCTTCCTCGTCCTCCCCTTCACGTCGCTTCGTCTCCCTTTCGCGATCAGAGTCAGTAGGAAAGAAAAACAAAACCACCATAGCCTGTTTCCGCCCCCCTTTCCCGACGTCATTATCGTCTTACCTTGTCCTCGCAATTTCACAAATAGTGCTCCTTATCTTTCATCTTCATCGACGTCATCCTCATTTCCATCAGTTAGCATCGTCATGGTGGGGGGCTTGGTCTCTCTCTCTCTCTCTCTCTCTCTCTCTGACAGTCTGCCCCGACTGTGCCAGACTGTTTCGTTGGACTTTCACCCACTCATTAGGAGGTTGAACCCCGACAGTCTGCCCATGATGCATTTGTGTGTGTGTGTGCATGTGCGTGTGTTCGTGCGTGTGCGCGTGTGCATGTGTTTGTGCATGTGCTTGTTCGAGCGGGCGGGCGGGCGACCGTGTGAGTGCGCGTTTTCTCATTTGCTATACACCGGCTCTGTGCGCCGCCAAATATATGCGCGGGGGCCGAACCGCTGCGCCCTATAGGAGACTGGCCCGCCTAGAACCGGTTTCTCCCCATGCCTGGCAGCTCTAACTTCGGTTGTGCTGCAAACTTCTAATCTGGGCCGTTGGCCAACTAGTACCCGGCCGACTGCCCAGGTCATCGCGCGACGATCTAAACCGTCGGGCCAGTAGGACCATGTATGGCCTGGATCATCGCGCGATCTTAAAGTCTTAAGATCGGTTGCCAATCCGAACCGTCGGGCCGGGAGGACCGGGTCGGCCTGGATTGCAGATTTCTCACGTTGGCGATTTTTGTAAGTGTAGGGA